TGTATGTTTAACCTGAGGTCAGGTCAGTGACACATCTTCCTTATGCTGTGATGTAACAGATCTACAACTTAAAAGAATGCATTATAGGTTCCTTATTAACGTACCAGCTAGTTTTTACTTTTAATCTGGGAAATAAATACTAAATTAAAATAATATGTTAAAATTTGAATGGTGAACGGTAAAACGAAGAACACAATCACCATGTCTCACAGTGCAAAAGTAAGTATGAATACCATTTAAATGAAAATGATGATAACCGTCCACTTATTTTCAAAGTGGTCTTTTGCATCAATAAAGCTAACTTGTTTTTTTTTAAATAAAATGTTGCTTTAAATCTTACGTAGAATTTTTTAAACAACGCCAACTTGTCGTCGATGTGCAGTATGGTGTCTCTACTGTAGACGACGTCAAAGGATTCGGCGGGGTAGTCTCTCTTGGTGGCATCGGCCACTTCAAACTCGACCTAATTAAATCAAAATGAACACTGTTGAAAAAATTTATAAAATACTTTACAACATTTGTGTGGTTAATAAAGAAAATTCAGTGCGTAGTGTCCTTGTTACAAAATAGATAATGCTTCTTTGGGTTTACACAAACTGATGATCGCATACTGTATTTGTAGCTTGAAAAGTACTAACCCTTGAATCCATGAATTCCAGACATCTTTCCCACGCTATGCTGACTGCATTCTCTGATAAATCAACTCCCAAAACACTGACGTCATATCTCTGAAAACAATTAATGACGTCATATAATTTTTATCTGTCATACCCATGCCCAAACGTGCTGACTTTATAGTTCAATTTATTCAATTCTATCCGTTTAACAATATTTGATGGTGCACTTCAACGTATATAATATAATATTTTATAATATTAGGAGAAATATTTGGGGGAAACAGTACAGTATCTCACCTGTGCCATGTGGAACGCGCCACCGCCGATTCCACATCCAACATCTAGAACTTTTTGACCAGGTTGGAGGTCCAGCATTTTACAAAACTCCTGGAAGTATTTAAAGAATTCCACATGCATGCACATGATTATAAAAACGAACAGTGTTAAACAAACTATATTATGCTTCAGACCAAAGAATTTCAAAATCAGTCATTATATTATCAAGATGATACTGTATAGTTCAGTATTTACACTTTTTTCTCTTATATAAAAAAGCATTAAGGATATAAAATTTTACACTCAATGTCAATGACTGCCTTTCACCATAATTCTACAATATTCGCGCATTACAATTTGGCGATTGTTAAAAAAATAATGTAAAATAATGTTTTGAACAGGCTTACCTCAGTTGTTTCCTTGCCTCCTGTACTGATAAAATGCCGTCCGAATATCTTCTCATACGTTAGGATTTTGTTTCTGGAATATTGCTGTGTGTCTAAGAATTCTTGGAACGTCTTGTAACCATGGTTGTGGACCGTATCCACGCGGACCTTCTTCAGGAGCCAGCAGACTTGGTTCTTGTTCTGCTTCATCTAGAAAGAACGACACGTATACAGATATTGATGCCCTACTGTGAAATATACTGATGTATCTCTTAGCAGCCCAGCTGGAAAGTCAAAATGATTAAACTGCCTAACTACCCTACGGTGTATTATTCGCTTTTAAAAAGGTTTAAATGTTTTTGGTGTTTCAAAATCAATTAAAAGATATTCCACTGCGTTCTGCAAAAGACATATATATAGGCATATTTATATATAAAACAACAAAAGCAACAACAATATCAATCATAGCAAACATTCAAGTTAAATAGCCTATACTCCTTTGTACACGCTCAAAACAAATAAGGCATGTACCTTTAGATACGTCTGTACGTTTTTGGACAGAACCATTTCAAAGGCGTAAGAACCGTTCCCGTTTTCTGCTGGCAGAACAGCTCGTTCCAGTAAACTGACGTACTCTGCAGGGTTACGGTACTGGGTGGGGTTGAAATCGTTCTCTCGCGCCTTAGAACCTGAATAAAAAGAAAGCTTGATGAAACAAGAAAAGATCCCAAAGAATAACGTCTGCGTGCAGTCTCAGGTTTTAGCTGATTCTTTTTTTTTTTTTTTTTTGCTTCTTAGGGCATAATAACTGGGTTGTAATCGATTTTATCAGGTATTTGCCCCCCAAGATACCACTCCCCCCTTAAACAATTTAAATATACCGCCAAACGCGTATTAATCCGAAGAAATACAAGTATGGCAATAAAAGTGAACCAATTCAAATAGACAAGCTGGCTCATCAGTCCACCGAACCAACCTGTTACGTTTGACCTGTTACATTTCTACGACTAGATTTATCAGCAGACAAGTGCCATTTGATTTATAAGTTAGAGAGTTTCTAAAAAAAAATCAATTCACTGAAAATCTTTTTGTGGTACATCTCAACAGTCTAATCAAACCCCGCCCCTGCTTCTGTGACAGAGAACGAGATTTGACCACGGAAAAAGGCGACAGCGTACCTGACTTGTGAAAGCACGATTCTCGGAAGAAAAAATATCCATCATTCCGTAACCATGACAACATCTTCCTGCCAAGATTGACAATCTCGTCGTTGGATAAATACATCAACAGCCAGTTGCTGAAGACGATGTCGGCACTGTAAATGCATATTTGAAGCGTTTTATCCAAACAGATTTGAAAGGAATCGAAACAGAAAATTATATATAACTATACCTGCACTGATATTCAAACAAACAATTCCTTTTTATGCAAATAGAGCTGAAGAGTTATTTTCATGTAGAAATGACACATTTTCTATTTTTTTTTTTTTTTTGTCAAAGACACAAACGCAGATCTAGACACTTTAGTAGCACAAATAAGGCATGTACCTTACTTTTTCAGCAGTGGCATATAAATACGAAACAACGTAAACCGTTTGATGTGACATACAGTCGTATTATGTGAGTGTAAAATAAATAAATAAATGAATGAATAAACCCACCTTGAAGCCGGGAGATCCAAATGCGTGACGTCTGCACAAATGAATTCCGTATTGCCATAGTGATCGTTTGTCTCCTTATTCTTTTCTATGAAGTTTTGCATGAAATCTACAGCCACCACGCTCTTGCTCTGCTCGGAGAGAGACGACGTGAAACGACTGAAATGTGTTGCATTAATTATTAATTGTTCATTAACTAACTAAAAAATATTTTAATAAAAAAAACATGTCCGTACAGTACCCTTGGGTTTAGTTATTGTTTTACTATAGGATAGGTTTTGTTCGTAGGCTTACTAGATTTTTTACGTTCCACGTGGTCGGCCACGTTAAAGCAGCTCATGTTAGCCTATTTAACCTTACCCTATCCCGGCTCCAAGTTCTATGACATCTTTATTCTCATAGTCCGGCAACATGGAGAGGATTTCCGGTGTCTCCTCTCGAGCGATGTCCTCAGCGTCGTTGTCAAGCAGCATTTCTTGCAGGTTTCCCTCCGAGGAATGCTGCCTCCAATACTTGGACATCTCATCACGTACAGACACCACTATAAATAAATGAATATATTTCATGAATGAATGAGTGAAGAAAGAAACAAACAATTCAAACAAAGAAAAAAAGAAAGAAATATTAAAGAACATGCGACCGAACGCCCGAGCGAGTCAGGGAGAGAGCAAAAAACATTCAAATAGGTCAAAAAATAAAAATAGATAAAATAAAAGATAATCAAATGCAAACGAAGCTCTGAAACAGGGGAGGATTGTGAGCTAGGATAGTCATTAATATTGTCATGTCAGAGGAGATATGCATGTTGCCAATACTCATTTTTGCAGCAGGACGATTTTGAACTTGAGACAGCGGGTTCTTCTATATTCCCCGAAAGAATTAAGGATGACACGCGATGGACATATTGGTGCTTAGTGCCAAATTCGTCAGTTGAAAGCCTACGCTTTGTTTCTTATCTGTGACCCTAATACCCAACTGTCACCGCGATTATGTAAACTACTGATATTCGGATGGTCTTAACTTAATCTATGGGCAGACAGGGGTATCACAGTAAGGGTATCCAAAGACAATTTAACTAACTGCTACAAATGTTTTATTGTGTGCTTTGCCTACATGCAGGAAGACATTCCATCATTTTTCAAGAAAGACTCGCTATATATTTTGTAACGACTTCTTTCTTAAGTTTTGGCTTGAATTCAGGAAATTGTCGTGACCCTTATCCCATTCCGATCAAAGGTTACTACCTCCAGACGAATTAAGTTTGGGGTGACGGCAGGATATGCCATTTTGGAGAAGAGTAGGTAGATTATGGGAGGGTTTTTTTACCTTTAATTGTTCTCGGATCCTTCGGCTAGTAGGATATGCTATCCCCGACATAATCAGGAAATGCTATCACTTTCATTTGCCTTTCTTAACTGTTACTTTTGCACTATAGTTTCTGCAAACAATATGAATAAAATGCTAAAGGATGACCATATTTTTCTGACTATTTCCTACTTTATATTTGTCAAAGAGGATAACTTAGGTGTGCAATACTAGCACAACGTTACATCCTGGAGCCCTTGACGTCCCTGATATGGACTGCCAATGATTGACTGTACTACTACCATATTTCTTAACGTAACAGTTTTTGTAATAAAAAACAATAATAATTGTGAAGACAAAATTCGCGACTGTTAATCTCTGGCCTAGATATAACACGGCTTCTTTTCATAGCAAATATGAATGTACTGGCATGTATTTACATGCACTAGTATATACAGACTTGACATTTAATATGGAATATTTTTTTCCAAGTAATTTTTTATCGGTTTTTTCCTTTTTTGCTGACTGATAAATGAAAATAAGGATTAAAATCGTGTTTTAATAACTTTAAATTATCACTTTGATGTCATTGGGACATCAATTCATTAATGGAATTCGCCAGAGAAGCAAACAAAAACACATTGCCTATTCTATGCCATACGACTTCCATTAAAAGAGATATTTTGGATCTCCATATTTTCCAAATTATCTTCTGTAAAAGAGTTATACGCTCCATAAAAGACCCTCATGTCAATTGCTAGTCACAAGAATGGCCGCTGTTACGCCTGGCTGTTGCCAGCTCTCTCAAGCGGCAAGGCATTCCTTGGGGTAGGTTTTTAGAGTTCAATCGGGAATAATATTCTAGGCATCGGTCTAAAATTGTCCAATTTGGTCCAGTTTTGTTGTAGAACATGTAGGCAGTTGATTCGGCGAGTAATGGCCTACCGAAATATTGCCTATGTGGTTCAAATGTGGCGATTTTGATGACCAGGGTAGCTGCTCATTCCCTTGGTTCTGTAAGTTATCTGCTATTAAAAGTGCTCTGTGTGAACCGGCAACCTCACCGTGCAACCTAAAATCGTTCCTAAGGTGCCCCCTATCAAATGATAGTCAAGTGGTTCCGAGATTATTCCTTAATTTGATCTGGTTCAGGTTTTCGTCGATGACTACCATTGGTGTTTTGGCACCAATGTGGTATCCACTCCAAATACTGACGCTGTCAATCACCCTTGTCACTTTAGACCCGGCATATGCTTCGTCGTAGGTCTCTTCTGGATAACTGTAAACTCTGTTTTGACTAATTGGGCGGTACAGGTGAAATCTGACCTCAATAAAGAAAGCCACGCAGTTTCAGTGTTCTACCCAGAAACGGCCATGGCCCCCAATTCATTAGAGAAACA